CATTTAAAAACTGTTTTAGAAAAGCCAGATATGCCTTTCTAATTCAAACTACTCCTCTATTTTTGCCATGCACTGACACAACGCTTCCTTTACCACATTATTCCTTTTTCCCAGCCTGGCACTGCTGAGCTCATGCTCAGCTGCTGAGTTAACAAGACCTGCCCTAAATGTGAACATGCTGTGCTTTCCAGTGATGGGGTCCTCTCTCTGCCTCCTACTCTTAAAATATGATGTAATACCCAATTATTTCATCTTGCCTATTTAACTTGTTGAACTGGAAAATGGAATGTAGTTAACCGGTTTGGTGATATTATAAAAGCAGGTGAATTGGATTAAATTCTAGCACATTGCTGGAATTTTAGTTAATCTAGTTAATAGTGAAGAAAAAATCCTGACATGTTAAATTTTCTTATAAAAATCAAATTTTTAATACTGTTCCAAAACAGGAGATTTTTTCCTTTCCATTTGTTAATTTTTTTCAATGTTTGCGAACTTGTATATGTGAATTTTTAACAGAGTTCAAAGTTGAAGTTCATTCATGCTTAAACATAAAATTTTCAAACTAGACACCAAAATGCAAGTATTCTATGAATGTGTAGTGTCTGTACATTTCAAATAAAGAATATTAATCTGTCCAGATATTTCTCAGTTCTTCAATCAGATAATAGTTAGCTAACCCTATTTAAATCAAGAGAAATCATCAGTATTTCAGCATATGTAATCAGGATAACTTAGGAAATTGGAATAATTTCCGAGACAACATAAAGAAGCTTCTAGATTTTTCTCCTTCTATGGAGTAGAGATGAATAGTTTCCAAACAGTAGAGGATGCTTCGTGATACATCTCAGCTGCCAGAGTTAAGTGAGAGCTTTAAACAAAAATACAGTTTGTGAGAAAAGTGGAAATTTAATGCCAGTGGCATGAAATACAGCCTGATCCCTTTTGCAGCAGGGCACTTGGAAGACAGCAACATGTCTTGGGCTGCATTGCCCCCAGAGCAGGCCATCTTTCATCTTGGTTCGTCCAGCTGTTACCTCTACTAAGATGTCCAAATACGCAGAAGTTGTCAGTTTGTAGATAGAAAGCAGCTGCCTCAAACTCCACATAGGGCCATTTTGGTATTTCCTTAATGTTAGAGTTTTCATGAAAGCCTTAAAATATTACTTTCTTAAACCCTGCTTTTCCAAGAAGGGAAGGCATGCAGCTATCATTTGAAGAATTAAAAACTACGTAGAGCTTACAATAATCGCCAAAGCTGGACAAGTCATTACCTGCAGTGGGTAAAATTTATTTTTTTATATTCCACCTGAAAGTAAATTGTAGAACGTTTAGTTGTACCTAGTTCTTGCCACATCGTGTGTATCTTGTTTCAGGTGCTGGTAGCTGATGCATTACAAGGTGAACATCTAAATGTAAGGATTTCAACTGGTATAAAACATGGCTGTATGTCTTCAGGCTTTTCTCATTTTTTAGTTTTGCAGCATAATCTCAATCCTTAGATTTCTCTCTTAATAAAAACGATGAAGAGTATTTTTGATACTCTTTAGAGGCCATGTGCCTCCTGAGAGCTGCAGGGTCAGAGAGCTTATATCATTTATTTGTGTTGAGAGTGTTGGAAGAACAAGCTAACCCTTAGAAAACTGAAGTTACTTGGTAGATGCCATTTTCTCTGTGTTGGATGGTATTTCCCCTAAAGGCCAGAGCACATTCCAGATTCATCATGTTGTATTTCAGCAGAAAACTTAAATAGTATTTTTTGGGGAGCAGTTTATAGTGAAGCTGGCCATTTCATAAAATATATCAATTCATCTTGGAGGAGGAGAGAAGATAGATGTTCTGAACTTGTCAATGTAATAAAAAAAAAAAAAAAAGTACTTTAGCTCCCAGTCACTGTTTACAGTTTATCAAACAGTAAAGGACTAGGTAGCAGCAGAACCTCAGAGTGTGGAGGTACCTGTTGCAGGTGAGTTGGAGGAGCCTGTGGTGCCACGCAGATTTACAGGCTCCTTGTCACCAGTGGAAGAGCCCAGCCGATGTTGGCTTCACCACTCTTCAGCAAGCAATAGGAAGCCCTGCAGAACCAGAAGGGTGTCTGGGGAGGAACCTTCCTAACCCTCACTGTGCTTAATTGGAGTCAGCCAAGAAGATAAACTGAAGGCAAATTTGGAAGACTTGTGTTAAATATACTGCACATTTCTAGCTTGTTTTAATTCCTTCTATAATAATAATAATTCCTTCTATAAATATCCATCCATATGGATCTTTTGTTTAAATGCCTGTAACGGCAGGGAAACTTAAGCAGTCTTACAACTGCTTCAAACTGCAGTGGCTGTGGTAATTGAACCAATAGTACTTTGAAATGCAATCACAATGTTTAAAAAAAATACACATTCTAATGAGAATTGAGAATGAATTATTTGCTGATGGTGTTAGATAAAGGACTCGGTGCCTGTGAGAGAATTCCATAGAACGAACTTGCCACTTTCAAAGGACAAGATGCTACACAAAGAAAACTCATCATTTGACACAATTTTTCTGACATGCCAATTGACACAACAAGTCTTGATTCACGTTTTCTTTTGTTTGAGCACAGGAACCGTGGTTTAGTGTACATGTTAGTGGAATTAATTTAGTGCATAAAATAGATGAGTGCAAAAGAATTTTTTGTCCTGGTGTGTACTGTATAGATGATTCTGAACAAGTCTCTGGTATTTTTTTTCTGTGTTTGCTAATGAAGGTCATTCCTCGCGCTTTTTTCAAGATCAGTGTGGCCATTTCACTAGATCACAACTATACTTTGGTCAGTGAAAGCTGATTAAAAGAACCTTACTTGAGTCTGAAAACCAGATGACAATTAAAATGGACTTGGAGCATTTGGAATTTAGTTACAGCTGGCATTACCAGACTAAGATAACTTTGTTAGTAATCACTGGAAAAGGTTTGAAGAGAGTAAGTAGCTGTTCACAGTAAGGGAATTATATTCAGATTTTAATGAATCATTTCCTGCTGCTTTAGCAAAGGCGTTAATGCAGTCTTCAGCTATCACAAAGGTATATGACCTTGTTTCTTAAGAGAGGGGCAACACAAGCACCGTAGGAGTAATCCCCTTGAAATTAGTAAGGTCATGGTAGATTTATACAGGCATGTGGTAAACAAGGACAGCATTGAGAGGTGATAAAATGAGATTTTGCTACACTGACCTTTGAAAATTTGACCTTGTTACACCTGGCAATATTTTTACTTGAGTATGGGAGAATTTTCTCCCTCCCCATGTCCCTTCAGTTTGCAAAGTCTTTTCATGTGCTGTTTGTGTATATTCATGCTATATAGATAGTCTTTTGCCTCTGCTCTGTGAATTTAAGTATAGAGGCATTTAAGGACTAAGAAAAAGGTGTTAGTTTTCATTATATCTCTTAGATAAGGTGTTTTCTTTACATACTGCCTTTTAAAATGTCTTAAATGTTCACATTCTGGCTATGTCAACTCTTGGCAGTATCACATATATCCTAATGGCATTCCTAAAATAATGTCATGGTCTTCTGTTCAGAGAGAAGAGTACCCGGTCTAGTTTCTCCTTAGTTCTTCCATATACTTGTCAACTGGAGAAAGCATTCAACCTTTTTCCTCCTGTATCCCAGTCTAAATGTGGATTAGGAGCTTCCTTGTTACAAGGTGTTAGTTACAGTTAAGTTGGTTTTGGGTTTAAAAATGTTATGAAAATTATATCACCTGTCTGCTTTTGTTTCTAATACTTTTCACTATCTGCACTAACAAAAGCACAGAGAAGTCTTGTTAGCAGAATTTGCAAATCATCCTTTCAATAGGAAACATATGCTAACAGAAAAACACCAAACTTCAGTATTTTCTGGGCTTTTTATGTTTAGTTCGGAAGTTTGTTGTGTTTTCATCTGAAAAAGATGACAAGGTCTGCTAACAGCTGTTTTTCTACTATATCTGTGGACAAGCCAGTAGCTGCACTTGCTTCAGCTAACAGCCTCAGCATTTCTCAGTGGAAGGAGCCAAATCTCAGTTCAGGTCATCTTTATTAGTGAATTTCCAGCTTTAACCTGTACCAACCATGTTTCAGCATAGAGCTTCATGAAGTTGAATCAGGAAGCTGTATGAGCCTTCTCTGGCTACACATCCTGGGTGGGTTTTCTGGCCTTGTGGTAGGATCACGCAATCAGATAGTAGTTGCTTCAGTTTGTCAGGGGTGGAGGTAAACCTCTAAAACTAGATCACTTTTTTTTTAACCTGTGCAGAGGCAGTAGGTAAGATTTTACAGCTGTTATGGATGCAGTGCCTCTATTTTAGTTAATATACCAGGTAGCTAACATACAGCGTACCTAAGCAGTGTTGTGCCTAGTGTCCTCATCACAATACCCAGTTCACCTTTGCTGGCCAGGTGGCCATCAGCTGAGGCCTCCTGTGCTTCTTGGACCATGCTGGTCCTCAGCCTTCCTGAGCTGTCTTAGGGGTTTGGGTTTTTTTAGTTATCATTTTATTTATTTATTAATTTTGCATGGCATCAGCTTTGTACTAGCAGAGTCAAGGTTGCACATGTGTTTCCCAAAACTGCAGCCTGGGGTGTTGATACCAGGCATAGTGAGTTACAGGAAGAAATGCAAGTGATAAATAGCTATATAGTAACAGGTCCTACATAGTTAAAAAAATGTAAAAGGTAGCCTTATTTTTAATGCATTTTCACATTTGTTAATGATTGCATTTGTTTTCCTTTCTGATCTAATAGAATAGTGAAATTGGGACACCACAATGCAGTTTTCCTTCGACAACTTGATAAAAACATTAAGAACATTCTAAACTAGGGCTGAAATTGCAGTTGTAGGAAAACAACTGCTTCTGCCACATTTTATTTTATCTACATATCTGAAAATTTGATTATAAAAATAAAAACAATGGCTGTTTAAAATGCTATATTTCAACATACTGTATTACATTTACTTCTGATTTATCTAATTATCTTTCTGCTGTGTCCTTAGGAGATTCTTAAGAATGAAAATTACAGAGAAGAAATGAAACAGAAAATCAAAGATCTATCTGAAAAGGATAAACTGCTGCGAGCCAAGGAATATAAGGAGGGACTTGTTGCTGAACCAGCTCATACTCATGTCAAAGGCCACGCATCTGCCCCTTACTATGGGAAGATAGAGCCCTCACAGGATCCAACCAGCACTGCCAGTACCTTTCAGCCAGGCTCCTGGATGCCACCGGACAGCAGCAGTAGTCATAATAAATAAACAACCATAATGTATAGATACTGCCATGGATAAATATTTTAACAGACAACATGAACAGCTGTTGTACGTAAGTGAATGTGCAATAAAGGAATTATTAAAGCAGTTTCATTTATTTTTGCAGCACTGTTCAAATAGGCTTAATCATGACACTACCGTACAATGTTTGGGTTTAGTGAAAAACAGGATCTGTTAGTAATTAAGTTTGTTTTCGACAGCTGCTCTTGAAATCAGAGATAGGTTTTCCCACTGATTTAGTTTTATTAAATAATCCTAAATTGTTTTTTTGTTGAAGAGTAATTTTTAAAATTTGTTTTTTGACATAATAGATTTTAGTTAATCAGTACACTTAAATTTTCCCACACTTAGGCATCAGTTTAAGACAGTTCTTCAGAATGCTTGTTAATTCCCCTGGCAGTGTCAATGTGCTTTCCTCTGGCAAGCAGATGGAAAAGTTGATTTCATTAACAGGAATCACTATGACACTATACTGTATTAATCTTAGCGATATTCTGGTAACTTAAATTTAAGAAAATAACATATTTGAATAATGTTCGATTTGCAGTAAGCACAGGATAAAATCAGTCTGAGCTAAAATACATATAACTACTATAACAGAGATTAGAAACACTTGGAAAAGCTGCTGGAAAATAATGCAGGGTTTGGGACAAAGGGCTGTCATAAATATTAAAAAAATAGGTTTTATTTCTGGTAAATGTGGGTACTTCCCTAAATGATTAAATCTATTTGGCCATAGTTTAGACTTTGCTTAGAGATGCTGTTTGAGAACTTCAGGTTAAAATAAAGACCACAAAAATTTTTGGAAAAAGTATCAAATTTATTTATGCAGTGCATCCATCATCATTTCTCCATATGTTATAAGCTATGTAGGTATCAAAGGTGGCATACATACACATTTGACAACACTTGAAAGAAAACAGTGGAGACTTAATCCCATGCATTTATAAAATGCCAAAATGTCATATTCTAGTAATGCTCGCTTTGACCAAATAAAGAGGATCAATAATACTCCACATTTACTTTAAGTCATTTCAGTTCAACTCCCCACTTCTAATCCCCCTTGGTGTCAGTGAGCTGTGCAGGTGTCCTCATCTGAGCAATGGTATTATTTTAAGGTTTTATTTTTAAACATGATGAAGGACTAGTGGCTAAAGATCACAAATCTGTGCTGCCGTTCAGAAATATGCCAAGTCTGAAAACCTAAAGACTGCCACAAGCTCTTTAGAACTCAACTATTAATAAGAATTAGGCTTTGAAAAACTAATCACTTCTGTTAGAAAAATATTAATTGGTATTAAGGTTAAATAATTCTGGCATGTTTACAACATAAACCTCCCTTGGACTTCTTCCAGTATGCCAGCATTTCACAACCTGAAAGGCAGCAGAGTTTTGAGGGCCATGAGAACAAAGACCCCACCTAAACTCAGAAGGTCCTAAATCAAAGGTTGCTAGAAAGGTAGCAAGTAGGAAGAACTAATCACCAGCATGCACATCCTCCTCCTGTATCTCCACAGCCACCTGCCACAGGGCACCAGGACACAGCTCACTGAGCCATCTGGTCTCACCCCATTTATGGCCGTTCTTGGAGGCACAGAGTTTCTGAAGGCAGAAACTAATCAGTTACTGGTGGAGTGTTGGGGTCATCATTGGGGAAAACCAAACAACATAGTATTGTATTTTGTAGAGCATGTGTGGCTTAAGACAAATGAAGGTAATAAGAACAAGCAATCATGAACAGTTAACAGGTTTCATAGAGTTTGGGATGAATTCACAGAGTAGTTCAGGGAACAGGAAAAGCCAAGTTAGGTTCTTTTTGTAGACAAGCCTCACCACCAGAGACACTGCAACATCCCCTATAGGCACACAGTGGAACAAACCGCAGGGCCATATGCAGTGTCCTTGGAGGAGATCAGCGAGGTATGCGACCTAACTGGCACTAGTTTACCTCTGCAGCTCTGCTGAAGGATTGCCAAAACTTGCCTTTTTTATCATTCACATTTTCCCCATAATGTGAGTTTTTAAGACACTTAAGTCATATGTCAGCTAAAGGCTAAAGGGAAAAAAAAATATCTACCTCTAGAGCTGTCCAACAGATTAATTAAATAAACATGCAAATTTAGAAAATCAACCTGCACTAGACCACAGGTAGTAAATTAAATGATTGTAGTAAAGTGTCACTTCGGCAAATCATCACAAATCATCTCCACATGGAAAATACACTGAGGGGATTAAATTTCATATTTCAAGAAATAACAGGATCAAGTATCAAAGGACAGTTACAACACAAAATGTACAAGTGTTTCAAAAAAGTTGATTCTTTGCACAAGGAACACCTTTTTTTCTGCCCATTTAATCCTTCTTTGTTCGTTTGGCTTTTGCAATATTCTCCTGGCGTTTATGTTTCTTCTTTTGCTCTCGCTCTCTGGCCTCAATCATTTTTGCAAGCTTCCATGAAAGTGCTGCGCTAACGACAAACAGTGGTGTTAGGGCCAAGATCACCGTAGTAAGGAAGCCGTATGGGTCCTTCGCAGCCCACTCCACAATGTATTCAGCCCAAGCCTTAATATCAACCATTTTCTCTGTTTTTTTTTTCCTATTGAAATAATTTAAAAAGTTTGATTATTCAAAATAAAAGCACACATACACATCAATTACCATTTTAAGGTAAGTTATCTTTCATTTCTAAAGAGGAAGCTCATTTCTGCTCTAAGTTAAAAGCAGTGCATAGTATGTGAAAGTAGGTGTAATACAAACACAGCGTTCACCCTGCTTTAGAGCGCACTGTTAACTAAATAAGCAGGCACTTCATCCAACAGAGCTTGATACTACTAAGAAAAAATTGCTACATAGGGGAAAAAAGGTGAGGTCTGTACTTCTTTGAAAGAGAAGGAAAGAGCCCTGCTAGTTTACTTTTCTATGGGTTTTATTGGGAAGGCGAGGGAGGGGCGCCACTGCCTTACACTGGTAAACTAGCAATAGCCGGTAACTCAGAAAAACAAAGTAAAAATTGTCACGACAGCGCCCTATTGCGTCAGCCCCCGCAGAGTCGCACAGGTGGCGGCCAGCG